AGACAATATAGGCTATAGTTAGTGAGGTATTGGAATGCATTCACACATGATACCCTCCGACATTGTAGACTATATCCTTATGTGGCCCCAGACAATGTAGGCTATAGTTAGTACGGTATCGGAATGCATTCACACATGATACCATCCGACACTGTAGACTATATCCTTATGTGGCCGCAGACAATATAGGCTATAGTTAGTAAGGTATTGGAATGCACCCTCACATGATACCCTCTGACACTGTAGACTATACCCGTATGTGGCCCCAGACAATATAGGCTATAGTTAGAAAGGAATTGGAATGCTCCCTCACATGATACCCTCCTGTAGACTACTGTTAATGAAGTATGTATAATTGGCATCTATCCTCCCATGACCCGAAGACACTGCAAACTATATATAGCACGTGACCCAAGACAATAAAGGCTATAGTTATTAAGTTATTGGAATGCATCCTCACATGATCCCCTCTGCCCCTGTCGACTGTATCCGTATGTGGCCCCAGACAATATAGGATATAGTTAGTAAGGTATTGTAATTCATCCTCACATGATACCCTCCGCCCCTGTAGCCTATATCCGTATGTGGCCCCAGACAATATAGGCTATAGTTAGTAAGGTATTGTAATTCATCCTCACATGATACCCTCCGACACTGTAGCCTATATCCGTATGTGGCCCCAGACAATAAAGGCTATAGTTAGTAAGGTATTGTACTTCATCCTCACATGATACCCTCCGACACTGTAGATTATATCCTTATGTGGCCCCAGACAATAAAGGCTATAGTTAGTAAGTAAATTAGTAAGTTAACATTGATATGTATCCTCACATGACCCCTAGATACTATACTCTATATCCCATGTGACCCTTAGATAATACATGCTTTATAGTTAGTAATGTATTGGTATGTACCCTCAAATGACCCTGTATACACTGTACACATTATCCTTATGTGACCCCAAATAGTATAGGCTATAGGTAGGAAGGTACTGGTTTGTTTCCTCACACGATTGCCAAGCATTGTAGAGTATGGTTAATAAGGCATCTATCTTGTGTGACCCCAGACAATGTAGGTTATATCCTCAAGTGACCCCAGACAATGTAGGTTATATCCTCAAGTGACCCCAGACAAAGTAGGTTATATCCTCAAGTAACCGAAGACAATAGATGCTGTAATAAGTAAGGAAGTGATACAAGTAAGGAAGTGATATGCACCCTCACATTACCCACTATACACTATATGTTTAGTAAGTATAGCGTTAAGTGTTTGCCTATAAAGTTCTGTCACCCTATACAACAATAAACACATCAGTTCTCAGTGCTTTTTTACCACAGCCTAATTAATGTCGGTAAGATCAAAGGGAACCTTCCTTCCACAGGTGTGAATGCCTCCCATTGTACATAGTGTATTCGGTGTGCCAGATAAAACATGCATCTTAACATGCACCACATGTACTGACAGTGCAGGCAGTGACGCATATAGCTGCAGACCTCGGAGAAATGAGACACAGTTTATAAACAAAACTGTCAATTACCAATCCCTAGTCCGCACATTAACATGCACAAAGGATGCTCTGCGTCTTTTATTATCATGTGTTCTTGTGTCAATGGATATATCATCGTCAATGTGGATTGACAATAAGATACCAACATGGCACGTTAAAAGAACAGAACATGATAATTGGTTTTTACGTGCAGGTACTATGAAAGTAATTATTCAATTTAATAACCCAAAGGGCAATACTGTGTCCCAGCTTAGGTAATAATGTTATATATTTAGGTATGTTATTTGATTATAGGACTTTTGCCCACACGCATATCATTAAATATCACAAATATTGAGATTATATATATATATAACCACATTATCAAACTGCCTTCACACGTATCGATTTTGCAACAAGGTGCTGAATCTTAAATTAATGTCGATATGCAATGTCGTAATTGATATTATCTGTCAACGAAATTCAGTAATGCTAGATAAAATATACAAGAAACTATATTTAAAGTCGCTTACATGTTAACAAAGAACAACAGCTCTAGAGAGCTATTATTGCGACAAGCAATGCTGTAATGATGTACACTTGCTACGGTCAAACAAACAAAGTAATTATACATACAGTGTATAACTAGTATAACATAAAAGCAATATAGAAAAGAGACCAAGTAGTGATATACGTGGAAGTTCCCTTTGGTTTAGTCGTTACAATATAATGGGGATCAAACGCTGCCTTTATTCACATAGTTACAGGATCTTGGTGTTTCTGGGTAGCATACATGTGTAAACAATCCTTACCCACACAAAAGCATTTTGTTTGACATGCGGTTCTATTTACACGTGCTGCTGGTACTTGAGACAAGTCATGTGTTGACAGTAATGTATATAGAATCATCCAAGTAATTAATTCTTATACGTTAAAGGTTTGCGAATCACTTCTCATTTGTTATACAATGGGATTTAGATCACGGTTGGTACCGTAAATACACTTGAACTCAATACATTTTATTCAGCATAGCCTTACATCTAACGTGCATTGACCATTGTCATTCACTGGGCTAATTCTTGCTATTGTCAGAAGGGAACATGTTTACGACTTAACCGGCAAAGGTTTTCGCCTCCTTTATAATCTACATTTCATGATCACCATCCATTATCAAACAACGAACAGGCATTTGTATCAGAGCGATACATAACTAGTAAGACAAGCTGGCCCCCAATATGTCTGTTGTTCCCCTAAAATGTCTGTTTTACTGAAAAAGTTGGGTCAAACCTGATGACTGGTCATCTAGTTCAAGTAACACTGATACCCCTGTATCCAGAATTTGGTTTGAAGTAAAGGTGTTAGGAGGGCCTTAGTAGCGAGACGAATATATTAGTCTGTAACTACAAATACAGCGATGTCGCATGTTTTATACGGCGTCCATTGATGACTGCTGTAGTTACCCTAGTGTATAGTCAAACTAATGGACATCCTTGGGAGCGTTCACACGTTCTTTGACAGTACTATGATGTATTTCAAAGTGTTTATATCATCAAGCATGATTTATTCAAAGATCGTCATTAAATTAAGGATAAAAAGTCGTTTATCATCTTTGTTGAAATGTCTTTTGACGGTTACATAGTGTTTCGTTCAACAAGTGTTTCAGTATGTGAGAAACTTTTTATCATACCACTCCGGCATTATCGGGACAGCGATGACGGGACATGTGGATTGTCAATCTCCTCCATATCGTCTGAGAAGTGTTAATAAAACTGCTCTGGACGCTGTATGAATCCTTTAAAATATTAACACGTGTAGGATTTGCTGTCTGATAACGCTGTACATAGCAGGGAGGTTCGTGGACCATGGGCTCCAGACACAGCGTTGACTGACTTATCGGATACATTGGACATAGATTTTGAGGTCGGCATCACTTTGATCAACTTCCAGTAATTATTGTGCGCGGTATATGTCATTTAGACGTTGACATAACCAGGCACATGTACCATCTGTACGTGACTAGCCTCAGGTACCATGACAAAAGAAAGAATAGTGTCATAGATATGGATTTATTTTATTTAAATTTTGATTTTAATGTTTTTTTCGGGGGAAGGGGGGGGGGAAGAAAAGGGTTATAAATAGAGCAAAACTTCTAAGAAGTAGTTGAACATTTTTTTACTAATCTAAACACAAAAACTGAGAATGAGAAACAGATTTCAGTGTCACAAACAATAACTCGATCGTTGGCTCCTTACGTAAGGACAAGGACTCCGGTGAGATTGAAAATAAATTGAATAGGTTTTACAATCAGACTTGTAAATACTGTATCTTCGTATGTTGACACGAAGAACAACGATGTGCATACGAATCACATAGCATAGATATGCATAATATATTAACACGTGAATTTGTAACTCTATACCGTTTATTTCCATATACTGCAGAGCGCAAATGAGCAATTTTGCTAATTATACAGAGAGCAATGTATTTTTTTTTAAATATTATCAATCAAAAGTAGTAATAAGTAATTGCTCATCCAATGAAAAAATGTTGAGCAGCTTGCAATCGAGCGATTGTGATAGGAAAACAAATAGCACTTGTAACGGTCAACAAAAACACACCCACAGAGTCAGAACGACATAGGTTGTCATTAGGTTTCTGCTAAGAGTACATCTACTGGTGAACGCAAACACTAGATAAGCACAAGTCTGTCAGCGCTTCAAACACCTATCTCTAATCAAAATTCTTCCTAACACAAATTTACGAACAATGCATCCGAAGATTTATCTTCCTCAAACACAACTGACAGCAATAGTGAAATGCGGGTACTTTTTTTTCTCAAAGGTGCGTACACCCATCTGTCTTACATTGAAACTTACCGAGCGAATTGTTTACATAATGTTTCCTGTGACCGTTCTTACCAAAGCTTCATCCTTTCTGTACAATTTACAATTATGACGTGACGTAAGCACCAGGTCGGGGTAGTGTTGCTGTGTGTCTGTGTTGTTTGGCTCTATATCTCTGTCGTTCTCTGCCTCAGATCTACTCACTTCCTTCGCGTGCACAACGTTTGCACCAGGGGTCGTTCCGTTCGCCTGGTAATTATGGTATTATGTGGAGACATTGATGAATCAGTAATAAGTTTGAGGTACAAAGGTTCTGTAATCAGGGGTTATTTTGATGGATCCATTATGTTACTTTGACGCTTTGTTTGCAATACCAAACCTATTCCTATCAATCACTGCTTGGATTCCTGTAACCATTCAGAACCCTTTCTCAACCAAACATTTCCTCCAGATGATTCCTCAATGATAGCGGAAGCTCCTTCCTAATGGCCATTCTTAGCATAATATATGCCTTAAACACTTTCCGAGTCCCCCTCCCCGCTCCCCCTAACTTCTGGCTTTAACACGAATTTGATTCCGTAGATTTCCTCGCCGCTTTCTATAGTGTTGTCGTACGATTGTATAGTGACTGAACTGTTATTGAACCCTCCTCTCTAGTCAGGTGCTGGCGGGAGGTGGTTATAAAGTGGTTGCCCTGTCGACCACCATACAACGTCATTGACTATATATTGGGTAAATACACTTGATCACGCGCACGAGTCCGCCAACAGTTGTTCGCCTGTTACCCAAAGGATCAAACTTAAGTTCATAATTTCCATCAAAGAATTCCTGAGTAATTTCACGTCACATGTTCCAATGTTATTACGTGCAGAATTTATGTGTTTTATTGGAATCCCACTGATTTGCAATATAGATTATAACGTAATGCATTGAGTTAATATCATAGAGCTACCAGGAATATACACACACGCACTAGTATGCTGGAAATATTTCAGTGTTATTAATTCAATATACTTTAATGTAATGCCGCATTGACAAAGTTGAAAACATCTTACGACGGAAATTCTGGTGTAGTTAATAATCAGCTTCTTTAACATATCGCTTACAGTGCTTGTCTATCTGAATGTGTTCGAGGGACTAACATTGGACTTTTAAAGAAGATTTAAGAATTTCAGCGATGCTACAGATGGCCCTGTACCTGTTAGTGTTCCGGGTGATACATGATCCAGTGACCTAATAATGTCAAATCTAGCGTCGGTGTCAACTCGTGGGGTAACCACAACTCTTAAGGGGGCCATGGGGCGTGGCCTTCCAGATACACACGGACCAGTGGACAGGGATACTAATTAGTTTAGTCTGTGAGGCAGGTGATAACGAAAGCTAATTTATGAGGTTTGTCTATATGATGGGGCGACAATAAGATAGCAGGTGCTTTCTTATAGTTACAATACCTTATATTATAAATAGCAACTGTGGTTAAACATCTAGTGTAGACACGTGGGCAGTGTCACTGAGCATTATTTCTTAATCATCCAACCTGGGACCTACAATATGACACTGTCCTAAGACTTGTTATAACTGAACAAGAGCTATCTTACAGTTATCAAAATTGCCATTGAATGTTTTAAACACATGGATGCTCCCCCTATAACAAAACGCAGTGAAAACGTTGAATGGGAAGTGAATTCGGTATTAATGGATATGACAGAGCCTAATGATGGCTACAGAATACAACAATCAGGATTATAGATGAAACAAAACGGATTTCATCACCATATCATTTGGAGATACGTGCGTGCCGCCGTATGTGACATGTAACGATGAGCGACGATGACAGCCAGTGACACGGAGACAGTATGTACGGTATATGTTTTGGTGTACTGAACATTGCGGTTTGGACGTTGTTTGTAGCCCGGGTGGATACCGGGGTAGCACCATACAGGTATTCTCGGGGAGGGGCGCTCGTTTCTCATCCCAAGAGTACGTCAAACGTCAGAAGGGTTAGATCCATGGATCAGGAATCATCGCTCTCAGGGTATAAAATACGTGCCGGGGTCCCAAAAAACACTCCTGGGCCTCCGTCTAAACCACGCCTGTTCGACATCAGAGTGAAAGTTTCGCGGGGTAAGTGACGTGATGCCGTTGGGTCAGTGATGTCATGTGAAGGGGTAAGTGACGTTGTGTCGCGGGGTAAGTGTTGTAAATGTATTGAAGGGTATATGTTATGATAAAACTTTGAAAATCGTTTTGTTCTTGATGTCGAGAGATTAACGATTGAAAATGACGGTTTCAAGGTATATTGGGTTTTTTTAATATGTCGTGAGAAGAATTGTTTGACGGCGCGTGTTGTGAACGTGCTGTGGGCCAGATTAAATGGCAAAAATTGAGATAGAAAGCTAAACACATTGAAGGGTGAAACTCGCAGATTATAGTGTCATTTGTTTGCATCTGTTGATATTCACGGTGCTTAATCAAAATTCGTCTTTGCTCTTTTTTGTAGTTGTCAATAATACTCTGTAAACATAAAGAGAACAACGTAGTAATACCTTACTCAATATCGGAAACAAAATTACCAATAGATTATACATTTGTACCATGAAGCTGTACCGGTTGGATATTGCAAGATTTCTCCATTTTAATTTGTTTGTATAAAGAAGACCTGTAAAATAGGTTTACAACTTGTACCTAGAACAGAAAACCCATTTGTTATTGGAAGTGTTTGATGTTGGTTTACGAGTGTTACTCACTCACATGAGATTGCAGCCTGAAGTGATAAATACTGAACAGGCAAGCAACAGTTTACCTTGTTCTTCGTCTGCTCGTCCACACAGAACCTATGTTACATAAACAACCGGTATATAGCTGTATACTACAGACACATTAAATATTTAGGCAGAGTTACTGATATTGTATATATTGTATAATGATATGTTATGCTGGCATTTCTTCCTCCTTTCAACGTCACCGGTAAAATCACTTGTACAAACCACCTGTTAATATCGGTGAAAATATGTTTGTAGTTCAATTAAAATAAGAATTTCATATGTGTGCAGGGCACCACGTTTTCCATGACGATAGGCACGAAACACATATATAGCTTATATAGGTTCGCCCTTCTTACCACGCGAAAGACTCCTATTTTTCCTGTAACCATCTGCACAGCGGCAGGCAGTTCAAACCACTTGCATTATGTATTACACTTGCACTAGTTACGTATAACAAGCACTTAGGCTTTGAATTGATATTAACGTTAGTTTGTTTGCGTATGAAGCGTCTAATTGGTACTCCTTTTAGAAGCGTCTGTTCCCATCCACCTAACCTTACTGGGCCCGGACACATTGAGACGGGAGAAAAGTTGATCTGTTATCTCCATTACAAGACATTTATACAATCTATTTGTTTTTTCTCTGATGTACTCTTTCCTTACATTATATCCTCTGATATCCCTGGTTAGCCCATTTTCAGAATAATGTTAATTAGTGAAATGGCATTGTTGTAAGTTACCGCCGTCATCAAATGATCGTTGATGATGCCAAGACGTAAGACGGTCAAACGTATTACTGAACAAACAAATAAACATATTGTGTAAGAAAATAGCCCTAGCCTAAAAATAGTTCTGTATAACTATACAAATTATACTCCCTTTAATCATGAAACCGCGTTTCAAATATTTAATACCCCAAGTTAAGATAAGAAGTCGGACAAATATCAAGGAAATTCGGGGAAGATATCTGACCGAGTTAAAATAGCAGAACCTAACACATACGAGTTTAACTCTAAGGCCCAGAGTGTCCAATAACGGTAAAACAATATAACTGTAAACACATCACACTCTGTCCTTACTTTTAGCAATCAACCTTTCTTATTTTGCTGTCTCTAACGAGCCGATGTTTACGAACTGTGGCAGGTGAGGTGAAATTGTATACCAGAATGTAAAACAGAAATTGGCGTCCTGCGGAGTCGGAGTTCTATTTGATCTGAGATTACCATTATGATATAACGATAGTGTTCGGTAGGCACTTGTCTACACATCGTCAACTGTCTAACACTTATAACCAAATTCCCATCAAATTGGTTGTTGATGGTAAACTATCAAGAGCACGCAGAGTAGATTTGTCCTGATAGTTCTAAAGCGGTCTCAGAGTTACATTATAATACGGTCTGTCCGAATCCTTGGCTTGTGTTGTGATACTTATCCCGAATATGTTCCGTCACATTATATAATATAAATTTATATGTAAACTTGAATAGTCACACTTTTACCATATGAATATAAATGAAATCCCGTTGTTCAGCATTGAAAACTATATATAAAGTTTAGTTGCTTTACTATAAAATATGAAACATTTATTTCAACTTATATATCATTCGTAATGGCCCGGATGTTAGCGATCGAAAGAGAGGGAGGGGGTGGGGGGTCTTAATGTGTGGGAGGAAACCGGAGTACCCGGGAAACCCTACGCGTTCGGGCAAGTGACCCCATGACTTTTCACGTCCGATTGGGGAATCGAACCCCGGCCGCCTTTGTGCAAAGGCGAGTGTGTTATCCACTGCACTACACGACTTAGAGCACTACATCAAGTGTAACTAAATCGTAAATGATATGTCGTAGGGATGGACTAGTTTTGCTTAAACTGGTTGTGAGTCATATTATTTTGAGTTCTGTTTATCTACATTATTGTATACTCCATAACACTACTCTACTCGATTGTTGATACAATTTGTGTGGGGCGCTATATGCGTAATTATTATATTCAAATTGACTACATGTACTTTTAAAGGTAAAGCGCATGGTTTTATATATAGTTGATGCTCCAGACATATTGTGTGTGTCTGTTATTTGTCAGTTTAATAAAAAAAAGTATCAATACAATGAGAAGCGTTGGGCTCTTGTGTTCTTGTGATAAATAAATAGCTGTAGAGGAATCCTTGGCAAATACATAAATATTGTATATGTTCTGTAGTATATATGATTGTTCTTTTTCCAATGTATGATATATAATAAAAGATTTTCGCTACTAGTATTCATTTGCTAACTCTACACTATAGTTATCCAATATCACGAGGCAGAGTATATGCACCGTAAACAAGAGCGATATTTAAAGTAACCAGCAGGTTTTCTGTATAGTACTGTATTTTACGTATAACAATCTTCTTTTTGAAAGTTTAAAACTGGTGTTTGTTTCCTTTTCAGCGGTTTATGTACAATGCCTCGATAGAGACCGTGTTCTGCCTGTGATGCATAGGAAAATTTTCATAGCGCGCAAATAAGCGTTAGGCTGTAAAATGGTATTAAAAGTCACCGCGTCCGCTTACCAGTCGTGTTCTTTGTTATAGATAAAACATAGATTTACGTTGCTGTTCGTTGTTTGGTAAATATTTTATCATTATTCCTGCTGGAGATACTTATTATCTACCTATCTGATGGAGTAATATGGTGCTGGAATTATGCGGTGCTATTTCAAATTAGAATACAAACTTTTTATGATAACGAAACAGCTGTAATTGTACCTATAGGCGAAATTTCTGCCACAAGTTTGGCTCACATGTCGTATTGCAAAAACTGCTTGATATGAATTATACATATAGCAATTTTACGGCTAATTGATAATGGTTTAAAAACCAATCAACATTTCTGAATAAAACACAATTGAAAAATTCTCAGCAGTATCTTTATGATTACCATTGCACATATTTGTTCCGTGTTTCAATTTGCAGGAATCTGTCCCACAAAAGTACACTTTCGATGCCGACGACTCTTAAACTCTCGGCCAAAAGCCAAAACAAAAACAATCTTGTGTCAACCATGTATCAAGATATCTTCATGTTATCTTTCTTTTTCAGGTGGCCCGAAACCCGTGCTTGTGCTGGATGTGATGCCATACCCGGCCCGTATCTATCAGAATGCACCCCCTAATACGCCAGTGTTGACAGTCACTGGCTACGACAATGGGACGGGGGGGCCACTTGACGAGTTGGCACTAACTCAGCCAGAGGAGTCGTCCTACTTTAAGCTCCATAGGTCCACTCCTTTGAGCTGGGTTTTGGTCACCCGACGATATATAAACCAGCCCTTCAACTACACATTCCACTTCCGGGTCTACGGTACTGTTGAGGGAGTCATAAGGGACAAAGACGTCATCATTGACGTCGTAGAAGAGAACATGTTCGCGCCGACGTTTGACCAGCCCCAGTACGACTTCCTCACTTACCGAAAATCGTTTGAGAAGGGGATTGATCTCCTCGGGACAGTGCATGCCGTCGATAACGACACCCAGATTTACAATTCGTATTTCCAGTACCGAATCCTTGACAGAGATGTGCGTCCATACTTCAACATCACGCCAAACACAGGAAAGATCATGATCGTAGGATCGTTTCCCGAAAGCATTAGCCAGTATACTTTCACTGTGACTGCCATCGACTCAGGATCGCCACAGAAACAAAGCTCGACCCGCGTCCGAGTCAACATGACCGACGTACCACGTAAGTAGCTCTCGTTTCTAGTCAGTGATCTGTCATAACTCATACATGTATTAAGTAAACGTCGTATACACTGTAAATACTTATTTTTATCATTTTATAATAGACTTTTTTTTTACTTTATCAAAATACGTCGAATATAATGTATAGCATAATATGAACATTAAGGGCAAAAAGAAAGAGAGAGAAAAATCTGACAAAACCGTCATTTGGTAACGAAATCGTCATCTAATTGTTAATTAACGATAAATATCGAATCTAATAAACGTAATATCAACAAACATGAACATTAATAATGTCCCATCTGGAGCAGGACATGGTAAGACGCCTTTTGTGTAAGAAGCAATAAATAGTTGTCATTATTATGTGTACTCCTTTGGTTCATTATCTACTTACTACTGGATGTTTGAGATTGAGATTTGGAATTTGAAACAATATTATTATTTTTCGTTCATAAACTATAGTTTCTTAAACGGCCAAAGTGTCAAATACATAAGCAATACCACATATACGTTGACCTTTATTAAAACGATGTCGTTTCCGGGAATAATGTACCTACTGTCCGTCAATGGATAAAACTAATTGGTTTATATTATAACTGACTCTTATAAACAATAGAAAATAATCTTATTTAGCGGTGAAAGCCATATTGCAGCTAAAATTATAATAGAACTTTTTAAAATAATTTGCAAAAAATAGCTAAAAATAAATCCTGAAAATTCCCTACTAAGGTGATAACTTGATAAAGACGTGTGTTACTTCCTTGAAATATTATCCACGCTAAAACTTTTTATTAATATAATAAAACGGTTAAAGTATGGTTATCAAAGGATATGTGAAATTTCTGTTAGTCTGTGTACAGCTTTCATAATCATACGTTAATTCTTTACGAATATCATATAATGCATTAGAAATGAGTTTTATGAACACTGTATACTGATCTGTATCGCCAAACATGCTATCCTACTCGACTTCTTGAGAGTGTGAAATAGATAACCCTTTCTACTTTTATAGTTCTTAACCCATTACAATAAACTCAGCGTGTCGTCCTAAGAAAGTTTGACGAAATCGAATTCGACGATTTAGAGTATGCTGTGTATTTCCGTTCGACAACTTGTGATGAATTGTTATCTTTCATGATCTTCAAATCTATCAAAATTAATAGCAAACCGTATAGAATGTAAGTTACATATTCTTCACATATGGTGTACCGCCTAATGTCGGGACCGCTTACATCGTTCTGAGTTAAAAAAAAATCAGTTCCCGAAAGATATCAATTAAGATTAAAGATTGTCTTCCTGTATTTTTATGATATATTCATCTTTTTGTACTCGTGTAGAGCATATGACAGGCCAGTGATATGTAAATCAGATTCACACAAACGGTTTGTCATCTACATTGCCTCTGTAAGGCGTACTTCATAGATAAGTTGCACTTACAATAATATACAGTGATTCATGTTAACTTTTGTATGGGTCTGGCGAGATAAATCCGGACTGTCACATATGTGTCCACGACTGTGTTTATTTAAACTGTTAAAATTCCCCGAGAACAACAATGTAAGTACATGAAATGATACGTATATTCATTTTAAATACCATTAAAGAGAGAAGTGGCTTTCCACCGGGGATCGAACCCGCGACCCCGGACTTCCTAGTCAGACGCTCTACTAATGAACTTAAGGGAAATTCTCTCTAGCGCGAAGCTAGCAGGCGACAGTAATCATATGTTCAATTAAAATTTGACACACTACTGCCCCCTTTTTAAATGTGTTCGCCCTCGAACACCACAACAATACAGTTTCTAACTTCCTGTCACCACAGAGAGGGCCACGGACACCATTTGTGTCAAGAAACATCTCATGGTTTAAGCCTCCGTTATATTGAATTGTATTCATGTCTAATAAGATTGATGCATAGTCGTTCAGAAGATTCTGTTTCAATAAGGTAAAACATATTTCATAATAAACAAATCGAAAAGGATCAACGATTATAACTACATAAGCTACTTATAAGTTGTGTGAACAAGTTGTTCAACTATATCGTTCTATATCTTTTGATAAATGTCTATCTTGTGACGAGAAAAGCAAGTTAAAGAAGTCCGTTTATCACGAAGGAACGGAAAATTCTGGTCAAACTTTACATTTGGTTAAGCCCCATATCAAAACGTGATATTGTATACGAATAAACATGTATCAAATTTAAACTGAGTTCCAAAAATATTATTTGTTTTATCAATATTTAAATTTCGGGAAGCCAAACAATCGTGATAAAGCATAATAAAAGTTCATGGATTCACTCTTTTTTTTAAAACTGACGTCATGCTATGCATTAGGATGTTATATTTAACTTCTCATACGTGAAACGGCTTTTCACACTCCTAGTCCATAAAGATGATATGAGGCTATATCATTTCAATTGATCAGCAATATTTGGTCAATCATTGTTCTCTAAACACCTTATAGTGGTGATAAGTTATTGGTCCGCTGAAGGTTATGATACGCATGGACGTTACCAGAAGCGAGCCCTGTGACAATAAAGATAATCGTATTGTCCGAAACGATTTTATTTGATGTCCCCCATCTGTCGCCCTTGCAATACGTACCAAGTGTAACAGTATATACACAATGACGATAGACGTATGACTAAACATATTTATGGCCAAAGACTTTCAATGATCGATAGAGGTGCGAATCCATACACCAATCAGGCCAGGCGTACACGCGGACGCGCTCCTGTATGTGGTACCAATCCTGTTGACAAACTGTCGCGCAATGCGTCGAGTCGAGATATTTACTTCATTCGTCTCAAATTCCCCGTGCGGGACAGTTATAGCGACACAGAGTGTTAAGGAGCCAATGTAAAGTTGACAGATAAGTATCCGGACAATGGCCGTCGGGCTCGTTCCTACTTCTGTTTGGCCAAGACAGGTCAATTTATCAGCCGAGAGGTCCAGCTTCAACCTCTGTGTGACTAAGTCTCCCGTGATACTGTGACGAGCTCCTCACTTTTATGTGCGGCCCCTTCCACACAGGATACACATCTTGCGTTTTATTTGTTTGACAGATCTGTTAAGCTCATTTTCTCACAAACCGACGGTGCAACGTTATTACAAAAAAAAAAGATTTATGTAGTTTTCTCTCCTGCAGAAAAAGCAACATGTTCGGTAGTTAGGGAGTTTTTTCTTTGCTTTGGATGATGTCATTTACAGGAAATTGCGGCGCTGGTACTTTTACGCTAGGGATCTATTTAACAGGCCTCTGTCATTTTCCATTATGTTACTGACGGATTCTGTGTTGTACAGTTTTGACATTATTCTGGGCAAGATGAATTTATCACAAATAACTTAGCCAGTTTGATAATTGGAGGTGCAATTTTGGAACACTTATAAGTAACAAGTGCTTAAACCGCGAAAGACATGAAGTAAAGGAAAGTATGATAAAGTTGTTAGCGATAGCTAGATGGATGCATCTTGTATGATATAAAACATGGTCAATACTACTTGTGCATTTTAATTTCGATATACTAAAACAAAATGGAGGTGATTTCTATAACATTGACGTTTTACTTCACGGTAGCACCGGAACTCTTCTGTGTGTCGGTGGAGGGACTCCAGGCTCGGATTTGTTGGAAGGATCCAACCAATGGCGCTTACGTGGAACGGTATCAATTACAGATAGCCATGAACGACAAGAATGTTACCAGCCACCCTGTGGTGATCAGGGGAAAGAAAAATGAGGTGTGTACCCAGGTACGAGCCACCCGACCAGACCGTTCTTACCGCTTCACAGTCAAGGTGTTCAACAACACCCACTGGAGTCCTGACAGCGTACAGAGACTCGTCAACATCACCAGGAACGGTACGTCAGTTTATGTTATAAATGTATTGCACGTCCTTTAATCATTACATTAGTTATAATCAAAAAGGGTATTTAACACCTTTTATTAAATTCCTTAAAATACTATTTGATTTAAACTATGTCATATGCATGTATTTAACAATAAGTAAGAGTTATCGTTTTCATGAAATCATTCTCATGCTAATTTCTATTACACTCGCTAAAATAACGCAACATATTCTAACGGTAAATTCTTAAAGATGAAAAATGAAGCTCGTCTTTAAGTTTTTCTAAAGTCCCTTAACATTATTGAAAAAAAAGTGAAATTTGAATCACAGATATAAATAATTGGTTGTTAGCATACAACACGTTTAACGCATATACGTGTCTGGTTCTCAATTGTTTAAGAGTAAGCTATTTTATTTTTAAATCTCGGGAAAGGCATGTCTGTTTTAATTTCTAAACAATAATGAAAGTCCCTCTGTTTCGCGTTTTCTCCACGTATTACAAGATTTCAGTTTTCACCAACTAAAGTCTACCCAACTTCATTCCTCAGTTTTGAAATTCTGAATAAAATTTCAAGCTAATTTACACAATTTGTTCATCATTTTATAACACTCAATGTAGATATATCGTAGGTCTCTTGATGTTTAAATAACTGATCGATGTTTATGTATTAACCATGTCCTACACGGTGCTACATTATATTGTAACTCTTTCTATATACACAAAGTGCGGATATATCGAATACCTCGCGCCACTTAAATAGTTTTACTTGCTTTTGTTTGACACTTTATGACTTGAAATTTAATACACCACTTCACGACAAATGTATAGAAGTATCAACACATGAGGACAAAATCAGACGAGCAAAGTTAATGCGAACATAACTGCTTGTACATTGATATCAGAGTCGCAATGCTTCCCCCCATAAGTCGTGTAATATCAGCATCTCTAACGTACTGATTCCATGTATCATTGTAGATTCATTACTCAAGACTTTATTTTCTGAGTATCAGGAATTACTGCTAGATCGCTGCTTCTGTTTACCAGAACATTACGTAGCCAGGGTTTCTAACGAAAGGGCTACATTCTACAATGTACAATCTATAACGGTTATTATCATCATAATACGCAGACAGAGAGTTTACAGTCTGCTATCATAAAATACAAGACTACTGTTGTTGACTTACTGGTTATTATGCAGAAAACGCTTACCCTCCATGGATACCTGGTCTCACGTTCAGTGTTTGTGGGGATTGTATTCATTCTAATTATTTCTGTTTTAATGTTGTAGTACATGCATATGTATATAATATACAAGTCTGTGAAAACTAATCAGGGGAAAGTGCAAAAACTTACCGAATAGCCATGTGGTCTGGTTTCATTCTATTAGGTATGTTATTATTTTAATTTCATCTGCTGGCCAATAATTATCACCTATGCATATTCTGAATTGCAGCTGGTTGGTTTTGATTGTAAAATTGACATGCTGATGTAGTATTTAGATTTTACGGACAAAATATATAATGCAATAGCTATTTGTATAATCACAATGTATGTTCAATCTCAACTAAAATTCTAAATATCAACCATTATTTTATCAATTTGATTCAACTGCTTTTAGGTAAGGTACTCATATAAACTATAATATATTAGTTGCAGATTCGCCAGACACAATTATTGAAGTATGATAGTCCTTCTTAATTTTAATTCATACTTCAAAAGCTGCTTTACAGAGACTATCCAGCGGTGTATAATTATATTTTAACCTCTTCATAAATCCTGTATTTTACGTTCGTGTCCGTGTATGTCAATATATTGCATTCCATTAGATATCCTATTTATTATCAGCTGGTCAACCGATTATCATGAACTGATAACATTGTAGATGAGTTTCCTTTATGTCCCACCCCGTAAAGGATATAAACAGTGTAAGGTGAATAGTTCGAGATAACAGTTGGCATGTACTATTGTGAGACGGACAGTCCAGAGTGTCCGGCCAGTGACAGATGGGTCCGTGAAGGCAATACTAGGGTTATCAACTATGTCCCGATACAGCCTTATCACCAAGGCCACCCATCATCACAATAACCAGGAAATAGGTCGTCTGTGATTGATATCTTCTTTCATAGTTAGTGTCCCCTTAGACGTTCTGTTCCCTCTTTGTGGCTGAGTTGTGAATGTTACGAATTTGGTCTTGTTAACTCATTCACCCCTGAAGACACATTTGAGCTCCCCCAATCCAAGGTTGGAATAGTTCATTTTGAAATTTCAGGGGTGGATGAGTACAGGAAAACAACTACATATCACCGAATTTAAAATTACATTTCTGTTTTTAATGGATAAATGGGTATTGGTTACTATTTGTGTTGTTGGATCCTTATTTTCTGTCTCCGTAGTGTCTGCCATTGTTTTTTCGTAACTTCCATAAATTGATATCAATTTTGTCCCTGAGTGTTGACGTTATGGTTATTTTATAACTTACTGTTCCTTCCAGTTTTTGTCATATCAAAATAATCAGAATAGTTGTTTGTATTACCTTTCTCTTCTAAGTGATTGATATCTTTGTTCGTTGATATGTTTGATTATTTACTGAACATCCCGTTCAAATATTGTAAAGCAAACTACGTCTCAAGGCGCACGTTCATTTCAAAACATGAACCATTTTGGGAGAATATCATGATTGTTGATGCTGTTATTTTCTGTTGATATTTGTATATCGTTGATTGCACGTTCATATTATGCGAAAGCAACTTTCGTAATAATTTTGACCCCATAAACTTAATCTCAAGGTAGCAATATCATAAGAAACCTAAAATAATATCTATCATAAATAATGCTCGTTTAGAACATACAGTGACCTGTTATAAAGTCGACGATAAGCAATTGCTTAGAAATCTTTTGTGAATTATATGTCCTTCCCTCGAACAATAAAACTATACATCACTTAACTGTTTTCATAATGCCTATGCTTTGTTTTGTTTTGGTGTTTCCTCGGTTCTGGTTTTAGTTTTTTTTTACATATCTATGGGTTCCAAAATGTAATGTTGTTTACGTTGTTTTTTGTTTTGTTTTTATTTTGTTCCAGTGCATCTAGTGACGTTACTTAACTATAACAAATGAAATGTCTCCTGATCGATATGTATTGTGTGACTGTTTTAGGTCTATACGGGGATTGTCACCTGTTCAGTGACTGTAGTGTGCTACAGCCCTGTGTTAATGGTGGAACCTGTCGCACCCTCCCGGATATGTCATATCAGTGTGACTGTAGAGACGGCTATAACGGACGTAACTGTACAGAGACAGACATGTGCGTCCAATCACCGTGTCAGAACAATGGGTCGTGCACATTTATCTCACACGAACAGTTTAACTGCACGTGTCCGGTTCACTTTTACGGAGACACATGCCAGTATATTAATAGATGTGTCTCCAATCCGTGTCTTAATACTGGAACGTGTTACTCATATTCAAATGGAACATCCGAATGCGCATGTCCAAAAACTTTCATTGGAACGCATTGTGAGATTTACAATTCTTGTCATAATTCGCCATGCCAACATGGAGGCAATTGTTTTAGTCGTGCCAATGGTACTCACGAGTGTTCCTGTGCTGAGGGTTACTATGGGTCCATGTGTGAAAATACCAATGTCTGCATCATTGCGAACCCATGTCATCATGGGGGGATATGTAACTTTATGGACGACGATCTATTTAATTGCACATGCGCTGGAGGGTTTATCGGTGAAAAATGTGAAACCGTGGACATGTGTCATTACATGCAATGTAGAAACAACGCAACCTGTGAGACCTTTAACGGGACGGAACCACGCTGTGTATGTAGCCCCGGGTATTGGGGGCGGGAGTGTCAAAATATTGACGCTTGTTTTGCAGATCCTTGTCTTCACAATGGAATTTGTCATAATTACACGGACGGCACTTTCAAATGCACGTGCGTTAATGGTAACTACGGAGATCGATGTGAGCACACCGATCTGTGCTATTCTAGTCCGTGTAGTGTCGGAGGCACGTGTACAAGCACGTCCGATACAGACTTCCTGTGTCAGTGCACACCCGAAAGATACGGGATGACATGTGAAAAAATTGATGGATGTAAAGCCAAATTATGTGAACAAGATTCCAAGTGCATTAATAAAAGCGGTGACGGTGAGGTGGAATGTATATGTAAGGAGGGTACGTACGGACAATATTGTGAGGAGGTCGACCCCTGCAGAAGTTCTCCCTGTAAACATGGCAGTCGATGTGTTAACGTCACTACTGAGGGTTACCATTGTGTGTGTCCTCCGGGCTGGGTAGGTAGCACGTGCGAGGTGGCCGATCAGTGTTCTTCAATCCAATGTCAAAACAAGGGTGTCTGCAAGTATGGCATCAAAGACGGGTCATTCTACTGTGATTGTAAAGAAAATTTCGCAGGTAACAGGTGTGAAAAATACAATTTTTGCAATCCAAGAAGTAATATGTGCCTGAATAATGCTTTTTGTCAAAATGTGGATCACCAATTACACCAAATCGTCATCAACAGAACTGTCGCTAACGTCACCAATTGGTACAGCTGTGATTGCTCCAACGGTTACACGGGTAAGTTGTTAAAACAGTGCCCGTAAAGTTTCCGCTATGACGTCACGATGAAACGATGTCATGAAAAAAAAACTAATAACTGTGGCACAATTATTTATTTATTTCAAGGTAAGGTGAGGCTTCCCGAAATGGAACACATTTCATCTGTCTACCTTTTGAATAGTATTCGCATACCCAATTGGTGTTTGAGAAATTATTAAAAGAAAATATTTAAATGTGTAACATCGGGTCACCTCACCTTAATTGTGTTTTTTTTAAATTTTACATCCTGTATGATAAGTGATATCGCAAAGTCGTTAATATTCAATCAAAAAAATACAATAAAAAAGGATAAACGAAAGGGGAAATTACATTACAATGGAAAGGATAGCTGTTTCTTCTATCCTACCAACTGATTCACCCGTTATTAGTATAATGTGACCAGGCGGAATACAGTGCGGGATGCCTTTTGCAGTTTAAGTCGGCAGCAAATCCGCGCTATCAAAAGGAGGCAATAACGCCGTCATACCCTTCCTCCAGCGCACATACACACTTGCATGAATATACAACTCGCATGGAGGCACACGTCTTTCAATGACCTTGAATATTGATAAGACATTTAACACTTAACTACTCCCCCTTTCCATCGGTGTTTTCAACCCTAAAAATCAAGCCGTCATGTTACCTTAACCGCACTTGTAGCATGTAAAACAAATCATGGAAAAATACTCCATAAGACCTTGAAAAGCTATCTTCTACGTAAGACAAGAAATAGCAAGATAACATGACATATACTCCTCTATCGTGGCTTACCATGGCGATGCATTTCACAGACCTACATGTCAGATCAGAGGGAAACATAAATACCAACATAGCAGGAATTTGTACAATAAAGCAATTATTTCATAAACATGTTGTTATTAACATAACGCATAACAATCTCGAACATTGGTTAAAAATGATTGCACAGTAAGGGATGCTACACAATAACTCGTTCTAATACTGTATAACACGAAATATTCGTGGGTACTTTACTTCGTGGTTTGAAGCCATTTAGATCGTTTCGTGGTACACACTCTCGTGGAACCCCTTTATTGGTAAACAATAGACACGTATATCATTCCAATTCGTTGTATTTATATTCGTTGTTCAATAGCAACCACGAAAACCACGAATGTTTATACACAACGAACATTTCATGTTATAAGGTAATTCAGTTTGACACCTATTCGGGTGATGAATCTCACCGAGACTGTATACCCTGGTGTGTAGTGTGACACAAACATGGAGGACCATTTAGCAAGATTCAGAAATATGTCTATGCTGCACATAAAAAAACAAATGTACACTGACACACAAATATGAAAACAGCATCAGCGGAAGAAACAACAACAATAATATTATTAACAACAACAGTAGCAGTAGCAACAACAACAACAACAGAAAAAGTAAAAGTAACATAAATTGATTTAGAAATCAATGTTAATTAGTTTTACTATGGTAAATTATTGCAGACCATCTCATGACATCATAAAATGTTTTTTTTTTTTTCAATATAACATATACCTTTGTATTGTAACATAACTGCCAACAGCTACGAAAAGGGTAGTAAGGATGGATTTGATTTACCGACTTCCAGATGTGTCAGAATTCGTAACTTTTCTGGTTGCTTAAAATGTTGCGTAACTATGAAAGTCCACATAGTTTGTTTATCTTAAAATAATATTTTATGGAAGTGGAGCCACGTTTTAATTCATCTAAGTGTTCAAAACATATAATAAAGGTAATAAAATGTATCAAATACAGAAATATGTTCTGAGCAAAACACAAATAATGAAAGCGACATTATACATATATATGGGCGTTACACAATATTTTGTCAAAGTTACTTCGGTGGGGTTTTTTAAATGTTGTTCTGATATTTGAGTACAGTTACGAATAAACACACGTCCCATTCCACAGTATCAAGTATCTTTTGTTATATTAAAGCTATATATAGAATTTATAATGCTATGATTAATTATACCTATATGGTACACCTGATGTACGGTTTATTTAGTATACTTCAGTCTGCAGTCTAAAATATACCGTCATTAATTACTACAGCGAATGGTCCGGTTGCTATTCATTATAGTGATTGTTTCGCTTTTTCTTATGTTGAACATGAAGTTGAGGGATGTACATGGCATTTGTACACAGAAACATGATAGAGCATGCCCCTGGAATAGCATGTTTGTCTGTGTATTGCCAAGATGACACCGGACGGTACAGAAAGCTTGACAGGTGAATCAGAAAATCGCGGAGTAATACACACAGCACTGGCATAACCGGAAGTTATTCCGTCACGACAACAGAACTCCATAGGTCATAGGTTGGTCAATCACATGCTTGCGTTCCCTGACATGCAACACATGCTGATAATCCGAGTGTGAAAGATATGCATAATCTTACCATGTTATCTATTTGTCATTAGATAGTTTCAAATTAACACTTGTCCTGGTAGACTTATTGAATACATGTCGAAAAACTGAAATAGAACTTTGTATCAGACATAGCAGCTGTGATAGACATTTTATCGACGGGCAAAAGTTCAACCCGCCAATTGAAGTATATTTCTTTCAAAAATAAGTCAAGAACATCGGGTTTCTGGCTAGGCTAGCGTACACCATATCCGTTAAACAAATAAAGACTGTTTTAATGAGATCAGTAGCAAGATATACGCCTCACTTTCTGAAAGGTTTCAGGCGGACATGACTAACAATGTGGAAACTAAGACAATACTGTAATGCATATAGCAACAAAGCCAAAGTTCGAGATAAGATTTATGGCGATAATGAAAACCAAGCGTGGAGTAAATCAGAGGTTGGGGGAGTTTAGTAAAACGTTTCCGCGATAACAACAACACCCACACATAATGGTAATTCCATAAAACACGGTCTAGGCAAATTGTCTTGCAGGCGATTGTGATATTTCGAATGATGCAGTAATTTATATCCTCTTTGAAACTTCTCTCATCAGTTATATGTTCAGAATCCCGTCATTAGTTATGAGTCTATTTAGGGCTCGTCGGTTATAGGTTCAGTGGTGACCTCCTCGTCGGTTATATGTTCAGTGGTGGCCTCCTTGTCGGTTATAGGTTCAGTGGGGACCTCCTCGTCGGTTATAGGTTCAGTTGTGACCCCCTTGTCGGTTATAGGTTCAGTCAGTGGTGAACTCCTCGTCGATTAAACGTTCTGAACCTCCTCGTCGGTTATAGACCCAGTGAAGACTCACCTCGTCGGTAATAGGTTCAGTAGGGACTGTCCTCGTCGGTAATAGGCTCAGTGAAGACTCACCTCGTCAGTAATAGGTTCAGTAGGGACACTCCTCGTCGGTAATAGGCTCAGTGAAGACTCACCTCGTCGGTAATAGGTTCAGTAGGGACTGTCCTCGTCGGTAATAGGCTCAGTGAAGACTCACCTCGTCGGTAATAGGTTCAGTAGGGACTGTCCTCGTCGGTAATAGGCTCGGTGAAGACTCACCTCGTCGGTAATAGGTTCAGTAGGGACTGTCCTCGTCGGTAATAGGCTCGGTGAAGACTCACCTCGTCGGTAATAGGTTCAGTAGGGACTGTCCTCGTCGGTAATAGGCTCGGTGAAGACTCACCTCGTCGGTAATAGGTCAGTAGGGACTCTCCTCGTCGGTAATAGGCTCAGTGAAGACTCACCTCGTCGGAAATAAGTTCAGTAGGGACTCTCCTCGTCGGTTATAGGTTAAATGGGGACTCTCCTCGTCGGTTATAGGTTAAATGAGGAGTTTCTTCGTCGGTAATGGTTAAATGATGACTCTCTTCGTCGGTTATATGTTCAGTGGTGACCTGCTCGTCGGTTATAGGTTCAGTGGTGACCTCCTTGTTGGTTATAGGTTCAGTGGTGACCTCCTTTTCGGTTATATGTTCAGTTGTGACCTCCTCGTCGGTTATAGGTTCAGTTGTGACCCCCTTGTCGGTTATAGGTTCAGTCAGTGGTGAACTCCTCGTCGATTAAACGTTCTGAACCTCCTCGTCGGTTATAGACCCAGTGAAGACTCACCTCGTCGGTAATAGGTTCAGTAGGGACTGTCCTCGTCGGTAATAGGCTCGGTGAAGACTCACCTCGTCGGTAATAGGTTCAGTAGGGAATCACGTCATTAGTTATGAGTCTATTTAGGGCTCGGCGGTTATAGGTTCAGTGGTGACCTCCTTTTCGGTTATATGTTCAGTGGTGACCTCCTCGCCGGTTATATGTTCAGTGGTGACCTCCTTGGCGGTTATATGTTCAGTGGTGTCCTCCTCGTCGGTTATATGTTCAGTGGTGGCCTCCTCGTCGGTTATAGGTTCAGTGATGACCCCCTTGTCGGTTATAGGTTCAGTCAGTGGTGAACTCCTCGTCGATTAAACGTTCTGACCCTCCTCGTCGGTTATAGGCCCAGTGAAGACTCACCTCGTCGGTAATAGGTTCAGTAGGGACTGTCCTCGTCGGTAATAGGCTCGGTGAAGACTCACCTCGTCGGTAATAGGTCAGTAGGGACTCTCCTCGTCGGTAATAGGCTCAGTGAAGACTCCCCTCGTCAGTAATAGGTTCAGTAGGGACTCTCCTCGTCGGTAATAGGCTCAGTGAAGACTCACCTCGTCGGTAATAGGTTCAGTAGGGACTGTCCTCGTCGGTAATAGGCTCGGTGAAGACTCACCTCGTCGGTAATAGGTTCAGTAGGGAATCACGTCATTAGTTATGAGTCTATTTAGGGCTCGTCGGTTATAGGTTCAGTGGTGCCCTCCTTGTCAGTTATATGTTCAGTGGTGACCTCCTTGGCGGTTATATGTTCAGTGGTGACCTCCTTGTCGGTTATAGGTTCAGTCAGTGGTGAACTCCTCGTCGATTAAACGTTCTGACCCTCCTCGTCGGTTATAGGCCCAGTGAAGACTCACCTCGTCGGTAATAGGTCAGTAGGGACTCTCCTCGTCGGTAATAGGTTCAGTAGGGACTGTCCTCGTCGGTAATAGG